TCGCACGTGTGTCAAACTAGTTCTATGGAAAAGTCTATCTCCCTCCCTTATATAAATCCCGAACTTAATCACACAACTTGAAAAATTATTAAATAAAATGAAGACTTTTGTAATGGTTTTGTTGGTGTCTTTCATCCCTCGTGGGTGCATTGGCTCAAGGAGGGGTGGGTTCAATCAAGGGCGGAGCCAGCCGTTTAAAGTTGGGGGATCCCAGAATTGAAGATATAGAGATGAAGGGGTGGGGGGCTACGGGTGCCCCGAATTTTTTTTTTGAATACCTTATTAACAAAAAAATCAAAAAACATATAAAAGAAAAAAAAGAACAAAAAAATAAAATTTACACAACCTGGTCTGAGGAATATTTACACAACCTGCAAAGTTCTGTTATTACCACAGTACTAAAAAGAACAAAAAAATAAAATTTTAAAATAAAAAAAAATATTGTCAAAAATTTGGGGGGTTCAGGTCCCCCCAGGACCCCCCTAGCTCTGCCCTGGGTTCAATTATAAACAAATCCATTTTTGAGCAAATGTTGAAGCATCGCAATGATGCAAATTGCCCTGCAAATGGATTTTATACTTATGAAGCTTTCATAGCAGCTGCTAACTCCTTTGGAGCTTTCGGAACCACAGGCGATACCGATACTCGAAAATGAGAAGTTGCTGCCTTCTTGGCTCAAACTTCTCATGCGACAACAGGTCAAATTCAAATACCGCATATGCATTTAATTTAATACACACTTTTTGCATGTTTTGTAGGTGGACTAAACATATCGAGTAATTTCTGAATATTGTAACGAATGTACCCTTCGCTTTTGAAACCATCTTTTATCATGAGAAAAGCTTAATTAATTTGGTGATGGCATTACACAGGAGGATGAGCTTCTGCTCCTGATGGTCCATATGCATAGGGATATTGCTACAAGCAAGAACAAGGCAATCCACCGAATTATTGTGTTGCAAACCAACAGTGGCCATGCGCTCCCGGTAACAAGTACTTCGGTCGAGGCCCCATTCAAATTTCCTAGTAAGTATTGTGTAAGAACACAAACATGTTTATCGTGTAGTACGAGCTAGACAACCATTCGACAAAATCTTGATGGTGTTGTTTAATATTGCTTGTCAAACACGCTGTAAATTCTTTTAGCATCTCTTAGATGAAAATAATGGACATGTTTTGTATGCAATACTGATGACACTGCACTCAAAATAATGGGCACATCTTAATAATTTCTTGAATCGTGGATTGCAGCAATTACAATATGGTCCAGCAGGAAAGGCCATAGGGTCTAATCTACTAAATAACCTAGACGCAGTTGCAAATGACCCAACCATTTCATTCAAAACTGCATTATGGTTTTCGAGGGCACCACAAACGCCAAAGCCCTCGTGCCACGATGCAATCAGTGGGAGATGGAGACCCTTGCCTGCAGACTCGACTGCCGGTCGAGTACCTGGCTACGGTGTTGTTACCAACATCATCAATGGAGGAATTGAATGTGGTAAAGGTTCGAACCCAAAAGTCGAAGATAGGATTGGCTTCTACAAGAGATACTGTGACTTACTTGGAGTTGGCTATGGCCCTAATTTGGACTGCTACAACCAAAGACCCTTTGCTTAAGAAGTGGTTATTTTATTCACCTGTGTGATGCATGGACAATAAAGCTTAGTGATAAAATGGAGCTCTTAGCAGTTACCAAACATGGATCCATATAATAAAACATCAATAAAATTATATTTCTACGATATATTGATTTGACTTCTTTTCTTTAAATTATCCCTCTCGATAATTTTATTAAAAAAACAAAAAAAAGGATGCAAGCTTAATTTCCATGAGCACACATTTTTTATTTATTTATGTTTCTTAGTGTGACAAGAGAGACAGCATGATCAGAGAGGATTGTCCTTTGAACCTTAAGAATATATACTTTTAGCATAATTTGAAAATATATAATGAAGTCTAAAGTAGAAGTCAATAATATTTAGAATGTTATAATTGAACATTAATTAGATATCTTTAATTATTAGGAAGTTAATCATATTAATTGTGTGGAAAGCATGGCACTAACGGTGGTGATTACGCAAATGAAAGAATAATCACAACGAAAAATAATAATAAAATTAATTTGAAAATTTTGCTAGCTAGTATCAACATTTATATATGTAATGATTTGTTGTTATAAATAATAAGCTATAAAAAGAGAATGTGACTACTTCTTTCTTGCCTATATCCTTAATCATTTCTTAACCTTGAGGGGTTGTTGAATTGGTTAGGCATTGAGTTTGCTCTCCAATGGTCACCAGTTCGAGTCCCCTCAGGACCATTAAGGTGAGTACTCGATCGTAAACTTCAGGGTCTCCTGGGATTAGTCGAGGTGTGCGCAAGCTGCCCCAAACATTCACGGTTGTTAAAAAAAAAATCCTTAATCCTTTCCTATTTTCCATGTTTGTTGCACCTTGGTTTAGTGAGCGAACAATGTTGAAGTTGAGAACAGTTCCTTGATTCACCCACAAATTTATTTTTTAAAGAGAAATATTAAGATGACCGAAAATATAAAAATAGATCGAGCTATTAAAGAGAGAACTTTTCCACCATATGAAAAAATTATAATCATATAGAATTCTCGCTCACCTAAACTTTAAGTTCACATATTTTTGTCTTTTGAATACCATTAGGCCAATTGTGAAATATTCAATAGTGGAAAAGTTTAAGTTGAATTTGGCCCATTTGACCTGACCAATTTTAAAAGAACCCCATGAAAAAAATTATAATCATATAGAATTCTTGCTCACCTAAACTTAAGTATCGTAGAAAAAATATAACCTAAATTTTATCACTCACAGTATTATACTCTTTGTATAGAGAGAACTTAAAAAAAAAAAAAAATACTAGGACACTCATTTTATAATTTTTTTTCTTTATTCAACTATAGTGAATTATTGACCTAAATTTTTTTTTTCTCCGTGTTTATCTGACACAAGGATGCAATTATTCATTCCAATTAGATTTTGCCACCAATTTGTTTTCTTATAATTTACAAATTCACAAAAACTTCTTTTTATTGGCACGTTTTTTTGAAAAATTTCCCAACAAATCTCTCCATTGACAGAAAAAGAGTCCAACAATTTTCTCTCTCTTTTGCAACTCTTCTCTTGATGACGATACAAAATGCAGAATTAATAGGGTTTGACAGTCAATAGGGTTTGACAGTCCCAATTTTCAAAATGTAGAATTAATACCCTCCATAATCTCATAGAATATTAAATTTTAAATTAGATCATGTCGAACAAGCTTGTTAAAAAATTGTAGTATAACCCCATAACCCTAGAGCTCGACTTTTCTACGAGTTCATCATCCATATATGCTATATGCTAGGATTTGTCTACATATACATAATTTTATGTATATAATGATATCCACACGTTCACATGGAGGGGACCCATTTCGGATTATGTGCGAGTGTAAACACCATTATGTACATAAAATTATGTTAAAGTAGCATGATTCTATATGCTAACCCTTTGAAAGACATTCGATCCAATTCTTTGGTTAGTTCGCATAATCCTTATTCAGAAAAATATTGAGAACACAAAAGTTATGATGGTCAGACTCAAAAAAATTCTAATATATTAAAAATTATTACAACAACAAATAATTTTTCTTTCACAAAAACCCTCAAGCATCATAGAAAAATACAACCTAAACTTTGCTAGACCCACAATATTCTA